ATGTATCATTTTTAGTACTTGAAATCTTTTTTTTTTTCCTCGCATATGTATATCTCGAGGTCAAGATGATCAATTAAAGTGTTTTTAACCGTCAAAGCAACCTTTTTTATGAAGTTTTTGATGCGTGCCTTTTTGCACCATTTTAAGGTTGCAACCTTATAAAATTTGTTTCCCCGTGACGCAATTTTCTAGGCATGCCTCTCAAAAACACTTTTTATGCCACATTATTAACTCTAATAGGCAAATATTGTTTAGGCAAAGTATATAATGAGATTATTTATCCTTAGTACAAGGTGGCCATAATTAATCTTGACTATTGGATGTGAAATTGGGTGGTAGCATTTATTTTATTGACCAAATTCAAACTTCAAAAGAAATTTTTTCGAACTTTATGACACACCTAAGCTATCAGATTTCACATTGGATGGTTGTAAGTAATTGTAACTTCCCTGTACCAAAGATAAATGCTCTCATTGTATACAATCTTATTTGTTTATTCTTACACTCAACCCTCTAAAAGACCATTTTGGCCCCTCTTTTCTACCCAATACCAGGTCGCACTTTCTCTCTCTAGGCCGATGTAATACATTTGGTGCCCAACTGATACAGTATGGGCCCCTAAAGTTAGACTGGCATGCTTTGGGGCCCTAAAGTTGGTCTGGCATATTTTTTATTGACTGGCATAAGTGGGGAGTGTGATGCGAGGGGAGAAAAACGGTTGAGAAGTGAGGACATTTTCATTTTAAAAAATTAATTTCTTTTATTTGAAAAATAAACCAGTTAAGCTCACTCGAAACACCCAAAGTCTTTGGGTTTTCCCTCACCAGGGGGGAACCGAACAAAAGAAAGAAGCATATTTTTGGTTTGTTGTTTCTTACTTTTAAAAGTCTTTATAAAAAAGTACGCAACGTTGTTCAAAAATAAAAAGTCTCCATAAGTAAACAAATGATGGGTATAATTTTTGTGTAAAATTTTTTTAAGAGTGGCTCGAGAATTTATTTTTATTTCTCATTATAAAATTTTAAGTTTTAAAAATAGTTCAAATCAAGTAGATCTACAAATACTTGAAAATGAAAGATCTTAATAATATGTTGTAAAATACATATTTTCATTATTCAACATCTTTTTTTCCTTTCATTTTCAAACATCTAGATATTTAGATGATCAATCGGAAAGTTTTTTAACATCAAAACAATCTTTTATGATAGCCTTTTTTAGATGGACCTTAGTTCTACATGGTTATAAACTTATAACATTATATACATACTTTTTCCAACGAAAGAAATGAATGCCACATGTACAAAAGAGTACAAAAAAGAAATAGCTTGCCCCGTAGACAGGGACGTGCAAGACGTCTGACTTACTTTGATTCGGCTGAAACTCAAAATTTTAAAAAGAATATTGAGATTTTTTAAATTTAAAATAACTATTCAAATATTTTCTATTACCAAGTTACTAAATCTTAACGGCATTAAAAATTAAAATTTAAAATTGATAATATTAAAGCAATATTTCAACTATTTTATTTATTATTCAATATAGTAATACATTTATATATTATTAATTTTTAATTTCTAACCTTTTGTATAATATTTTAAAAATATTTTTATTTATTTTAAAATATATATGAAAAATCAAAATCGTCCATCGTCCTCCTAGTCAACCGAAATACCCAATTGCTTTATGTTTTAGACCAAAACACTCTATAAAGTGAATATGACAACATTGGAATAAACTCAGTTGGGTTTAGTAATGTGTTTTAAAAAGTGACGACGGCATTGCGTAGAAAGTAAGGTCTAAGTAAAATAAATGCACTTTTTATTTGAATGGACCAGATTTCTCATTCAATAATAATAAATATTATTATTATTATTTTTTATTTATTTATTTACGGGGATTACATGACTATGAATGATGTGAAATAAGTTTAAAAATTTTAGATCCAAAAGATCCTTCTCATTTATTGTGCATCATTTATTGTGCAGGTTTCAAATTCAAGTTGATTATATTTTGTTTCTTCCATGGAGAAAGACAATCAAACAATTCCAAATCATGGTCTTTGTGTATCGGATCATCAGTATCCGTATAGGATACAAAAAGATACTCCAGATATTTGATATCTTTCTTTTTGAATGAGATTTCAATTCCAACTACATATTTGATATCTTTTTCTTTGAATAAGATCTCAATTTCAACAACTGTTTCAGTAGATATCTTACAACTAGAATCCATTTTTTTTCGATCCGGTTCTTCCACCACGGCAAACCCTACCAAAAGAAACACTCTAATGAATTTCTTTGTCATAGAGAGAGTGAGGCCCCGTTTCAAATTTTAAATAGCCTAAGAGTCTGTGCAAGAAGCAACTAAAGCCAAAGGTCAAATAAGTCGAAAGATAATTAAACTGAGATAGAGAGAGAAATGGGTTATTCAACTAAGATATATAGAGAGAAATTGGCTGCAGAAGTAGTTTTATTTTAATGAAAGCATCCATCTTAAAAATGGGTGCTTTTCAATTGTAAAAAAACAATAAAGTGAAAAGCATCTATTTTAAAGATAGATGCAAGCAGACGTTCCATCAAGCAATAATGAAAATTAAGGGTTTAAATGTTTTTTTATTAAAATTATTATTTTTAATTTTTAAAATTTATTTAGTTTTCATATTCATGATTTTCATATTAGAGAATACATGCTTTTAAAAATTAAAATTTAAAATACACCTAAAAAATACTTTTATTAATAGATCCGCATTTTTACATATGCGGATTTGACGGTATAGAAACTGGGTCCTTATTTAATCTCTCTTTTTGAGAACTACAAAGGTCTCCTCCGTCGGTTAAACGGCAAAAAAATCGAAGCGACGTTAAAGCGCGTTGGCTGACCTGGATTTCTAAAGCATATCGCACCACACGCCGTTGAACGCCGTCAGGTTTTCTATATTTTATTCCCTTTCTGACCAATGAGGTACTCAACCTCAAGTTTTTTTGAAATGACATGGATACCCATCAAATAGGATTTGATTGTCTTCCTTACTTCTACCAAATATTTTTATTTATTTTTCCATTTTAAAGTGAAATATTATTTTAAACATTCTAAACTATGATATGTGAAATTAAAAGACGACAATACTCATTTCTCTATATAAAGTTTGAAGATAATTTTCTTCCTTTGAGCGCGGGAGTGGTACATCACCAGCTCCCTGATTTCACATTCAAGTAGGGCTGCAAAACAAGTTAGGTTGGGCTGATCCAGGTTTGGCTTGAGTCTAGGTGAGGCATGGACCTAATCCGGTCTAACAAACCTTGACCGAACTGATTTGAATTTTGGATCATGCCTAGATCCAACCTGGCCCTAACCTAGTCGATTTGACCCAACCATAGCAAACCAATTCGCAAAATACATTTCCGATGAATATATAGACATCCCTCTTTATGGATGAAATTAGTGAGGATCATTTCGAGATTGAAAAACATGAAATTATAGTGTTATATCTATTCTAAGTAGGGCTGACAATGCGCCGCGCATGGGCCAAGACCTTGGCCTTGGGTCTCTAGAGGCCCCCCTTTGGCCCATCTCTGTCTAGGTCCTTAACTATGTGGCTCAACCGACATTGAACCTGTGTGGGTTGGGCCCCGCGTCATTGGATTTAACATAAAAATAATAATTAATAAACCAAGAGATTGGGTATGGCATGCTTTTGGGGCCCAAACCCGGGTTTTTTCAGGCGGGGCCGACCAACCTATTGCCAACCCTAATTCTAATCACCCAACTAGGAGTCCAACATATAAAAGTCGATTTTTCACATTGCTTTAAGAACTTAGATAAGAAATGACGTGTTGGAAAATTTTTCACATGCTTTAAGAACTTAGATAAGAAATGACCTATTGCCCAATAAATGACCTGTTGGAAAATTTTGTGGTTCTCTGCCTGCACAAATGAAGCAATTTTCCTGTCAGTCAGTCCCCATACCTAAATTTTGAAGGCTTCTATGAATTTCCTTTAAAATTAATCGCGTAAATTTGTGGAATCCTAGGGCCCATTTTCTTTTCCCAGCTGATAAGAACCCAATTTTTTTGTTGTTCGGTTGCTCACCAAGAAGAACGTCTCCTGAGTTATATACCATAGCTGCCAAATTTTGTTCACCTAAATGCCTAACTTGCCTCTGTGAAAAGAGAAGGACAATGTTTACAAAATTCTATAGGACTCTTAAAACTCAATTTTTAATCCTTATGAAAACTTTTTGGGATTGTATACGGTAAGACTATTTACTTTTTTTTACAGGAACGTTACAATTGCTTACAACCATCCGATGTGAAATTTGATAGCTTCGGTATGTCGTAAAGTCGAAGAAAATTTCTTTTGAACTTTGAGCTTAGTCAATGGAATAAATGCAGCCACCCAATTTCACATCCAAATGGTCAAATATTAATTGTGATCACCTTGTACCAAAAATAAATGGTCTCTTCGTATATTTTCCCTATCTTCATAGATGTACTTAATCTATACTACTTTTTAAACTTTAAATTTTATAATAAGTTATGAAAATATATTTCTAAGCCATAGTAAGGGTTTGTTAGGTAAGCGCTGTATCTTTTAGCAAGATTTAAAAGTGCATATTATTTGATGAAAAACACTTTCCAACGTTTATTGGCAAAAGTGAATAGTATTTTTACAGTAGTAATAGACATAATAAACATGTTGCAGTTTAATGCGAAAAATCGGCAGTAATGAAAGTACTATAGGCGAAAAATCTATAAACAAAAATACTGTTCATTTTCGCCGTTAGAAATTGTTTAGGGGTTTCTTATTTTGATGGTTTAAAATTAGAACCCAATGGCTCCAACATAAAGACCATCTAAATTAGGGCATTAATGCCTTTTGGAGAAAGGTCTGGGCATTCTCATGAAAGCCGACTAAAAACGGCTGCTTGGAAGCTTCCTTCTCTCTCTAGAAATATCTCTCTCTCTCTCTCTCTCTCTCTCAAATCCTGCAAACTTCCCTGCAACTTCTAATACGATACGCGCAAAAAAGAAACCAGTCCTCGCGTAGGCCGCCAAAATTAGCATTCAAATGTCTCTATGCACATTCGTGGAGTCACAAAAGGAAGCAATAAAAAGGTATAAATAGGAGCTCTGAACTTCAACCGTGCAAAGCTTTAGGGTTTTACGCAGAAACCAGTTTCGTCAATCCTTCTTATGAAATTTCCTGAAAAATTCAGTAAAGTTTGGGTTTTGGGTCTTTCCTTTCTCTCTCTCTCTCTCTCTTGATTTTCAGGGGGATTTGTGCGTTTGATTCGGTATAAATTGCAGAGGTTGAAACAGAGCTGACCGAAGTAGAGCTTCTTATCTTTGCTTACTCAGAATTTAGGAAGGTAGGAGAATTGAAACCAGATTCAGTTGAATTTGGAGCTTCTTTCTCTCTTGTTTAGTTTCGTTTTCTTTTCATTCTTGAACTCTACAGCTCGCTTTCTCTCTAGATTGGTAATTAGGTTCTTGTTCCTCTTCGTTGCTTTCTCTATCTAGACTTCTAATTTACTGTCTCTTTCTCTCTCGATTTCGCAATCGGGTTTTTTCCTCGTCATTGCTCTCTATCCAGATTTCTAGTTCCTCTTTATTGCTCTCTCTCTCTCTCTCTATATTCCAATAAGCAGTACTCTTTTCCACTGTATTTCACTATTTCTTGATTCTTGAGAACCACTTAGTCTATTTTTTTGTACTTTTCGCTCTAAATTTCTTGCTCGGTTCCCCAGCTATCTGCACTCAAATTGAGACTTACAGTTCTCTTTCTCTTTCTAGAATTCCCTTGTTCTTTCTAGAATCACCACTCTTTCTGCTCCTTCTCCGTTATAAGCAAAGCTCTCCTCTGGAATTCTGAATCGTTACATATTCAAAAGCCACCGCAGAAATATTTATTATCAAACTTCTTTCTTCACCAAAAACTTCCGTAACCAAAACACCCTCTCTCTCCCCTAATTATTCACACAAAAACCAGACACCAGAACCTTATCCATCAATCAACCAAACCAAAAAACCCAACTTTTATATTTACTCTCTCTTCTCAAAAAAATAAAAACCCTAGAAAGCAATGATTCAGAGGGTGAATTCCACCAAAACCACCAGATTCTCCCCTCCCAATAGCCCCCCGAAATCCCCACAAAATTCCAGTTCTCCCCTCACCAAACTCTACCGGAAACTCCGACCCAGCTCCCTGGACTCCGGCAGAAACTCGCCTGAACCCTGCCCTGCCTCACCAGGGAACACTGTCCCTTTGCCAGGAAATGCAGTCGCCCTGCCCGAAAACAGCCAGATTTCCATAAGGGTCGAAAGGAGGAAATTTGATGGATATGAAGCGGTTTTCCGATACTTCGACACGGATGGAGACGGAAAGATCTCACCTCAAGAGCTTGGCCATTGTCTCCAAAAAATGGGAGAAAATTTCTCAGATTTTCAGTTGAAAGAATTGGTTACCGGGACAGATTCAGATGGTGATGGCTTATTGGATTTTGGTGATTTTTTTAGATTAATTGATACTGAGAAAGAGGAAGATAAAGGAAGAGGTTTAAGAGAGGCTTTTGTCATGTATGAGATGGAGGGGTTGGGAATCATAACACCCAAGAGCTTGAAGAGGATGCTGAGTAAGCTCGGAGAGCACCGCTCGATCGAGGAATGCACGACCATGATTCAACACTACGATATCAACGGTGATGGGGTGCTCAGCTTCGATGAGTTTAAGCTGATGATGCGATGATGATAAAGCTTTGAATTTTGGGTCCCTCATCTGCCTCTTTCAAATTCAAGTGGTTCAGGGTTGGGATTATTCTACTAGTACCTGATGGATGTGTGGCCCTTACTGTAGTTAATCTCCACCGTCCATATTTGCATATGAAATGCAGAAATAGTGGGACTTTCTGGGAGAAATATTTTTCTCCTTTGAAGGAGACCACCTTGCACATATTTATTCATTTGATTTGATTTATGGTGATTTTTTTTAATTGTTTACTTGGTAAATGGAGTTGGTCGTATACAAAATGTCAAAAATATTATTCTTTTGAATGATGTAGAAAAAAAATGCTCATATATAATTCTCCTTTTTAAGTCTTTGTGGGTGAATCTCGTGCTTGGATAAAGTGTCCTAATGACTACTTTTTTATTGTTTTTAGGTAAAAAATGATATAGAATCTGTTTACGAAACAGCCAAAATGCGAAAAAGACTTATTTAAGAGCATGGTTGATGATAACAAAAGAAGTTAAGTTAGGGGGAGAAAAAAGGCTTATGTTTGATAACAACAAGTGAAGTTAGGGGGAGAAAAAAGGCTTATGTTTGATGCACGAAACTTTATACAGTTAGTAATATGAAGCTGTTGTTGTTGTGGGGGTTGCGCTTAAGCAGAAGTAATACGATGGAACTTGAAATAGGAATAGGAACCTCGACCTTATTCCTCAAGCCGTATTCTCCTCATGCCGCCCCCCCACCTCGTCCTCCAGGAGGGCAGCGAGGGTGGTGGGCAATGGAGACAGTGATGTTGCCTTGCTCCTTATCCTGCTTCACTTCCTGCAGGAGGTTTCTCTCTCTCTCAAACCTAGGTCCTCATGGAGGATTGCGTCTACTCCTCTGGAGCAACAGCCCCTTATTTCTCCAATAAATACAGGCTTCCTTTCGCATAAGATGGATTTCTACTTCAAGCTATGCCTTTCAACATAAGAGGTTTCTCTGTCTCCTTGTACATTTGCCACTCCTAAGCAAGCTTCTCTTGGTGCTTGCACTCATGAAATTGGGATCTTATTGTTTGCTTTTGGCAAGTTTTCGGACTGATGGATTTTTGGGCTGTTTAGCATGTTCATTCACTTATTCTTTTGATGGTTTGAGAAATTAACAATTGAAATATTTGACTTTGTTTGTGAGCTGAGTGGTTGTGGAGCTTTATCCTGTTTCTTGATTGTTTCTCTCCAAATTTGTTGAAATTTTGTTGCGGGTATTCTCTTATATGTGAAATTGTGGAATTTAAGGACTCAAGTTGTAAAATGAATTACTGTGGATTGTTGAATATCATGTTCTTTAATTGCTTCTCCGCAAAATTATGAATAATGGTATGTGACTTTGTGTCTCTCGAACTCATTTTGGATATTCTCTTAATCTTATAAATATGAAGATTTTCTTTTGGGACCGGAACAAATCTCATTACACCCTTTTTGAGATAAAGTGAAGTTTATCATGTTTGTTGTTCATTTATCCCCTGTAAAGTCGTTAAAGAGTAGTGTAGTGTTGGTTCACCGTTTTGAAGCCAGAAATGTGCAACTGTGTATCTAAACAAGCGAAAAGTTTATATAGAGCCGAGGCTCTAAACAATCAAATTCGAGCCTACCGAAAAAATTTCACTAGAAGAGGTTGTTTTGATGCCTAAATATCCTCAAATTGATCATCTCGACATCAAGATGCACGGACATGAGATAAAAATGGATTTCAAATTTTAGAAATACTGTATTTTGTAGCGCATTTTTGGACCGTAAAGTTTAAAGATTTTCAAGTTTTCATTGATCTCTCGATCTACACTATTTTTGAAGCTTTAAACTTTATAAATAAAGCTAAAAACATATTTTAAGGCTATCAAAAAGATTTCTAGTATTGAAACCACATTTTTCGACACTATTTGAAGGTAGGCTCTAATTTGATTGTTCAGAGCCTAGGCTCTATACAAACCACACCCTATAAAGGCTATTTTAGCTTTTTTTTTTATTTTAATAGCTCTTATGGTGTATGCGAGCTGCTCTTCTTTATTGTATCAACATTCCTTATATATTTGGTATTCACATTCTTCTTCTTTGGATATTGGTTGGCAATGATGGGAGACACAATATTGCACATGAGCTAGGGTTTGAGAAAGTCTCAGAGCAATTGATTGAGGCATAAGAAAACTGGTGTAGAAATAATGTCTGTATTGAACCTAAACTGGTGCAGCATTCCTAAACTTCTGTAATTATTTGCTGGTCTGTTTCAGTTGAAGATGCTGCATATTTCTGATGAACAAGGTTTTGAGCAATGTTTTTCATTGTCTGGGTGCTGCTCTGTTCATATGTTTGACATATTGCTATGACCATTCATTGGATATTGTTCATTTGGTGTGTTTTAAATCATAACTCTGTTTCTACGCGACTTCTTTATTTATTGATTGCATGCATATGTGGTTTGGTCTTCCATTTATTTTGTTGTTCTGGTTTTGTACATCCTTCAGCATGTGAAGATGTTTTCTATGCCATGTTGAAATGATAGTTTTTATAACAAGTCACATTTATGATTAAAACTTTGTTTTGCAAGAAATGAGCTATTTACACAGTCTACTTCAACATGACTTAACTATATCATTCTCTATTATGATAAAGAAACCTATATGCTCCTCAATGTTCTTGTTATGGAAATATGTATCCAATGTGGAGAGGGAACCAAACATTCAGAATCTGCTCTTTGCATGTGATGGTCGTCTATCCAAGCATGGTACTATAGAGAATGTTCTTTGTCATTTGAAATTGTTGTCGTGTGCCTTAGTGGCAGATGGCCTTTGGATACCTTGTATAGTTCTGATCGTTTTTAACATACGCATTGTCACATATAAACCTTAATGTTCTAGGAAATCATTGGATCCTTCATGCTCTGAGAAACCTTACTTCTTTTTTTTAGTTCTTTTTGGTTTTTGTCTGGAGACTACTTAAATTTTGAAGGAAAATGAAATTTATTATGCGGTATCTGCTTGAATTATTGTACACATCTTTTATAATTTGAGGCATTTTCTTCACATTTCCCTCTTTATCAAAACTCTCTCTCTAGGACCCATTGTCCCCCACCCGAAATTCAATGCTTCTCTCTCAATCAAACTCACTTTCTCTCTCTCAATCAAACATACTTCAGTTTCGATTGATATTTTATCCCCAAAAAAGGAAAGACTAAAAAATTATAAGTTCATTTCGACAAAGAAGAACTTCTAATTTCCTGAGCACGTTTACCTTCCAGTTATCAAACACACGTTAAATAAATCCTCTCCAAATTCATTTTAAAGACTGAAAATCTAAGTTATGATTGGTATGAATCTAAAAAACAAAAATAAAAAGGTGTAAAATTTTAAAAATAAGATTTGTTTTACTGTTATTTTAACACCCTTAATTGTAAATTATGACTTTAGTTGGGCCATTATTCACTAACATAACATCCATCTACAAGATGGATGTTAAGTGTGCCGGAGGACACTATCGTAGAAGTGCATCTTTTGACACATGTTCTACTTTTCCAATTAGTATATATGCAACACTTCAGATAATATAACTCATAATATTCGCACTAGTAAAATATGCCTTTATGTTTACAAATCTAAGTTCTACCTATTTTATATTTTTTTAACTCTGAATCCAATAACATTGGGCCAAATACAAGCGTGATTAATAAATAATAAAGTATTTAGATTATTAAACAAGAAGTATTTATTTTGGGATTTTCTACTCTTATGGGCTCCTTAATAAAATCAACACCATGGTTTTTTCATGCCTGTTCTAGTCTCTGCTTACGCATTGCTCTTTTTTTTTTTTTTTCTCCCCCTTCGTTGCTTCTTTATCTCACAAAAAAACATGGTTCAAGATGTGTCATTTCTTTTTGTCAACTAATTCAATAATCAAAGAAAAATTATCCCAATATAATCATAAGAGGAACTATTTGACATTCTACCTATATCATTTAGTTTAATTTCAAAACGTCTATAAAAAAGACAGAGTCATTGTGTAAAATGTTCAATAATTCATCTCATATCAGTATTTTGACAAATTTCCTTCTAATTATTTATTATTTTCTTCCCTTTTTTCCCTCAGTAAAAAAAATGTGATTTAAGATCAATAGTTTCAATGTCGGATGTTTTTCTTCATGTTGGACACAAATTATTGAACCCTATGTAATACAAAGACTATGAATTGAAACTCCGAATATCAAAATCGGTTTTTTCAGACACCACATATAAAGAGATTAACATGGAAAATTATGAAAAAGAACCATGGGAACACATGTCCAGCCTACATATGTTGAAGTGTTATAATCAAACTATTTGGTCATACAATTGCATTTTTCATTCAATTTTCTTTAAAGATTTGCGCCAAATTTTATGTAATAGCTTTGTTTTTATCACAAATGGTATGATACCGTATTTTTCTTTAATTTTTATAAGGTTTTCTATAAAGAAACAATTTACTTGTTGTACAAAAAGTCACAATCATTCTTATCTCTTAGATTTCAAAATGGATGGTTGTAAAGGTGTCATCGATTAGACACAAATGAAGAACTAATGACAACATCCAGCATGGCACGTTGCTAATCAAAGGTGTCAAAGGTGCAACTTCAACAACGTAACCTCACTTGTCAGGAGAACTCCACAATAGGGGAGTTCTAGCGATTGCAGTACAAAGGAACGCAACACCTTTTACCGCTAGTGTTTAAATTGCTGACAAGGGCTTGGAGTCACCTGGGTCACCCGGTTTAGAGAATCGTCCAAGTCGGAGGAGCCAATCAGTCAATTTTCTGAGAAAATGCCAACTGGTTGCCTAGGTTCAAGAGACACCCAACTTCAGGGCTACTCCCTCCAGAGTAGCTAAGGTCCTGATCCAGGTTGACTAGGGGTGAGTTTTCAATAATTTGGTTCTAGTGCATCCAAGAACCCAGACATAAAACCTCAATTCAAATAAGAAAGAGTGATCTCAGCTCGGCAACTAGGAAATATGCAGATCTATGAGAATTTCAACGCAAATCAGAACTATGAAGATCTAAGAGAATTTCAGGCTAATCACGACAAAAATAGCTCTTTTTAAGCGTCACAGTGGATCTCTATGTGCATTCTGTGAGAGCTTGTAAAGTTCTGATTTATAAGTAACTTCACACTAATTACAACATATCTAAATTACAGAACTCGCTTCGGCACAAATTATTACATAGCAGGTCATTTACACTCCATTAAGTGTGACAACAATTCTGCGAGGTGTTGCTTCATCTCTATGTTCACAGAGCCATATTCCCTGCATATAATTCAAAACAAATACATAATAAGTTAGCGCATAAACCATGCTCCTGGGGGAACACAAAATCATTTACTCAGGGCACAAGACCAACTCAGGACAAAGGATTTCCTAGGTCTAACTTTCACTAGAAAATAAACAGATTTAGAATCTCAAGATGAGTCCATATATTTTAAAACAATGACTTTAAGTACCTGAAGGCCTAGTTTTGACCATATAAAAAATGGACGGTCTATGTGAAATGAATTCAAGAGAACTCAAATGTGGCTCTAATAAGTGACAAGTTGAGAAAACATAAACTTAAGTGGGTTGAGCATGTGCAGCACAAACTCAGTACAACACCTGTTAGGAGGTGAGACTTGATCCTTTTAGGTCTACCTTTTGCCTTTTTGAGCCTTGCACTTGAACCATTGAAGGTCTGGCCCTTGATAGAGTAAAATGACATACCACGATTCCTATAGAGAACCTCAAATAGTTGAGAAAAAGCTCTGATGATGATAATGGGTGGATATCCAAATTCTTTATCTTTTATGCTATTCCCTAGATCGAGTAGGTTACATCCTCAAAAAATTGGGGGTCCTAAAAATGCTCCTAGCTAGACTATGCCCAAGAGATCACATGTACATTTTGTTCCCGAGAGACTATGATTTGTTTTCCAGTAATAAGATCAGAGATGTTTTGGTCCTCAATAGATCATGCAAACATCATTTGATTATTTATATAACTTCAGGAAAATTGGTGCAAGTGCATTAAGAGACATTGATGCGTGCTGCATCTCTTTCACAAGACCTAATATGGTCTTGCATTTTTGCAATGTTGGGTAATTGATTAAAAAATAAGACAATTAGCTGAAATCAATCTAATGACAACATTCACTGGGACTGATTGATACTACCAATTGACATTTATCTTCTTGATTAAGCTTATCCTCAATCAAGGAATCAATGATCATTGCCACCATCAACCATCCATTGGAGAGGCCAAGATTTGATTGCTTGCATGTAATGGAAGCAACTAAAAATGGCACGTTGGAGTTCATTCATGTTGGGCTATTTGCTATGCTGACGTATCGCCTATTGAAACAAGTGAACACATAGGGAAATTAAAAAGATGCAAAGAGCACAAGGGTGGGTTTTGAGCCCAAGCTATTATGTCCCAAGCTTGTATAGACTACCACTGTCCCAACTATATCTATCTCAACTATATCTAACAGTAATAATATTAACATTGCATGTAATGGAAGCAACCAAAAATGGCACGTTGGAGTTCATTCATGTTGGGCCATTTGCTATGCTGAAGTATCGCCTATTGAATTGTGTCAACACTTTTAGGCATAGAGAAATTAAAAAGATGCAAAGAGCACAAGGGCGGGTTTTGAGCCCAAGATGTTATGTCCCAAGGTTTTATAGACTACCACTGTCTCAACCATATCTGTCTCAACTATATCTAACTGTAATAATATTAACTATTACTATACATTAAAAGTTTGTCATTTGTGTGTAAAATAATAATCGTATGGATGTATTACTGTATTGGCTTTCTAAGCCAAAGTGAAGTACCAGACACTTTAAGACGCATTGGGTTTGAACACCAGCAGCCGTGTCCAAGTAACATAGGTTATTTGTTGTGTAAGATCAAGATGTAGCAAATAGGTCCATAAACATTTTATCCCATTTACCTCCCAAGAAAAAACAAATTTATCCCATTCCTTGAGATGAAAACGTCGCACTTGAATGCAGAGGGCATATATTGATGCAGAGGGCATATATTGACCCTCTGCATTCAAGTGTGACTTATTCTCATCTCAAGGGGTGTGAACTCCAACTATAGAAGTTACCACACACGAATGCAGATACAACAGTGGTCATATTTTTTTGACAGCTACATAAAGCTTTGTTAGATACATCTAGAATTAAAATCTTAACCGAGATTTGACAAAATAACAGAATTCATAGATACCTGCCAGGTACCCATATTGAGACGGCCATCAGTAATGGGGATCCTGTAAATAATAAACACGGAAATCATCTGAATGAATTGTACTTCTAGTATCAAAATAATGAGAAACCATAGGATATTTCAGTAATAGTTAGAAATTGACTGATTAAGTTTATAGGTCAATGGAGACACCTAAGCCATGAAAATAGTATCTCGTGTGTGTGAAGATGTATATGCGTGTCTCTGCGAGAGAGAGAGAGAGAGAGAGAGAGAGAGAGAGAGAGAGAGAGATGTATAAAGTTGGTGCATTCACTGTTATTGCCTCTGTGAACCTACTAGCTAAATAATCCCAACTAGTTGCATAAGGAAGATATTGTATGATTGCTCGATTTTCTGAAATTTTTTCCATCCCTCTATGTAAATAACCTAATATGAGTTCACAGTAAATAAATGATTCCAATCTGGAAAAATAATTGAGAGCTTGTACTTCAGTCGTATCAACTATCATTTCAACGATCAACTTCTCCCATAATGACATCTATACAGCCTAGTATCGTCATGATATCAGCCAATTTCAGTCTTTTAACTAGCTGAGGAAATTTATAAGACCAGGTGGACGAATTTTCCATCTCCAGGGAAAAACATTATTCGCCTCCCATTCTGCCCGCCGCAATGGCTTTTTCTCCCATCCCATCCTCCATAAGGTGGTAGTGGGGTCTCAGTTCCCCTTCCCCCACTAAGTTATTGAAAACCTTCCCTTCCTCCACAGTTGAAATACAAGGGCACATTTCTAGGTTGTTGTAGAAATTTTGAAGGCATTTGTCATAGTTTTGTAACATTTCAGAAAGAATGACAATAGAATAGCAGGAAGGGTATAGCTTCACTCTTTTGCATAAGATTAGCAAAGGAATTCGTACGTGAGACTGCAGCCAAACATTGAAGATTTAACATGTGCGGGCATGTCATCAGGACCTGCATGCATCAAGGTCATTGGGTGAATAAATTTTTTTAGAAGTTTACATTCCACCAAAGACAATTGAAAAAGAAAGAATTAGGCAAAGAGAGAATTATACAAGAGTAGACAGTTGAACTGAGCATCCACATCTAAAATGAGAAACAGAAGCACCATATTTGCATGTAGAGATGCACGGAAGTAACAAATGGTCCACAAAAAGAACATGATTTGCTCTGCTTTTCTAGTCTTAATCAAGCTTTTGTTTGAGAGGTTTCCAGGAACATTCTATAAATTTACTTGAAAAAGAGAAGAAGTTAAAAAACAAAAACAAGGAAGACGAAGTTAAAAGACAAAAACAAGGAAAGCAAATTTTTTTCTGAATGACAAACAAGAAAAGCTAATAAAGGAATTGCTTGCTGGTAGGTGCAGTTTTGTGTACATCCAAGACCAAAATCATCATATTCTTTCATATATTATAGGCCACATAGCCAAACATCCTGTCTAGAAGTCCAATGGCCATATATGTAGGACAGTGGTCATTGAACTGTAAAAGTGATTTGAACATTAACTATACAAAGCACAAGTTTCTTCATCAAATCAAGACAAATAACATGTCACATAAAGAACTCTCTCTTCATTGTTATTGGAGGCGGGGGTAAGCATTTCCTTTATTGTAAAACAAATCAAAGAAAAGTGTAAAGATTACTATAATACATGACTAAAGAGAAGAAAGAAGATGCATCCAATCTAAAGAAGTTGGCTTACCTTCCATGGTATGGCTCCAAGGTGCAGACCTACCCTGAAAAGACATTAAAAACCTTCAAAACATAGACTTTACTCCCCTTTTTTTCTAATCTCT